TTTCCTTTCCTTTCCTTTCCTTTCCTTTCCTTTCCTTTCCTTTCCTTTCCTTTCCTTTCCTTTCCTTTCCTTTCCTTTCCTCTTTCCTTTCCTTTCCTTCCTTTTCTTTCCTTCCTTTCCTTCTTTCCTTCTTTCTTTCTTTCTTTCTTTCTTTCTTTCTTTCTTTCTTTCTTTCTTTCCTTCCTTCCTTCTTTCTTTCTTTCTTTCTCTCTTTCTTTTGCTCTTCTTGCCAACCTTACCCTACAAGGCATGACAAAGGAGGGCTCTGCTCCGCTCCTCCTTCACCTCCTACTCACAGGCTTTATGTGAGCAGGCAGTCCAGTTGATCTTGCTGGCAATGATGCTATCCCCAGCTGCTCACACTCCCTTTGAAATCACATTCATTATTCTTCATTGGCGTAGGTGGAGGTGGTGGTGCTGTCCCGAGGACTGACTGCAATGCCCAGATGATCAGTTGAAGTTGGCTGCCTGATCCAATATACAGCATAATTGAGGGGGACTAGGAGTGTAATCCATTCCTGTTTCACCCCAGTACCTATGCCAAATTCAACAGAGAGCTCTCCATATGGTCTAACACAAGTGAGGTAATGTGTATATTATGCCATAATAAATGAAGTCTCATAGGTTTCAATGGCTCATAGTAGCTATCAGGAATTTTTGCTAGCAACTCATGGGAAACTGAGCAGCATGCCATAAATGGGAAAGCCATAAATAATTCCGCAGCTCAGCCACCAGGGCTGTGGTGGAATGCTGTGCTTGCATTATCAACTCTAAACACTGACACGCATGTGAGCATGTCTGCCATTTTGTAAGCACCGAAGGGCTGGCAGTTATTTGGGAAAGATCTGAAGGCTGAAGGAGCTGTGAAGATTCTAGTCTGGATACAATACAAATTAAAATTCCAGGGTCACAGGGTCTGTGAAGACTGTTGGCACTTGTACTTCTTAGGAGATATTTGATGAGCAAGGTAAAGCAAAGTGTTCATGGGATAGATAATATCCATTGACTTTTGATAATATCCATCATCGATTGATGTTAGGCTTGGCCACATGACTTGGTGATGGGTCAATGGAATATGAGTGGGATTGCCACCCAATACTCTCAGCATGATTGTCCCTTGTTCCTAACACCATGAGACCAACCTAGATAGGGGCCACTTCAGTAGTCTGCATCCCAGAGTGAAGACAAGCTATAGCTAATGTATTATGAACATGGAACCTGGGATGTACTGAGCCGTTCTTGTCAGATATGAAGATGTGTAGCTCATTTATTATTGCAAAATAATTTAAGGTGACTGGTAGAACTCACATTTAAGATCGTATGAGCTACTTAATTATGACCACATTAGCTGACCATGGCGATCTGTCCCTGTAAACAAATAATGTTAAGCAGAGTGCTTGGCAGTGACATGCTCACTTCTGCTTCCTGAACTTTCCCTTCTATTTGCACAGGATGTTTTGAATTAACCCACAGAAGTTTGCAACCAGTGTGTTTCCACTATTGTTTTCCCCACGGAAGTGCTACTCACATGTGCCTCTTCTCCTACCCGTATGCCTTATGTATGCTTCTTACACTTGCTTAGCAGTTCCTCCCTACTTTGGTTCCTATAAGGAACAGATTCAGAGACCTAACATGAAGTATTTCATGGCTTATTGTTTCAAATTAGAGTATGTTAACAGTGTGCCTTGTCAATGATACTGTCATGTGCTCTAAATGCTGTTGAAGTCCTAACCCAAAGTGATGGCATCAAGATGTGGTTGGTGCATGTGGGAGGTGAAACACTGTATTAGTCAGCATTCTCCAGTGAAACAGAACCAATGGGATGAATATGTATGTATGTATTTATGTGTGCATAAATGTATAAAAGGATTTATCAAGTCAGCTTTAAAATAGTAACAACAGCAGACTCACACCCGAGAGTTGAGAACCTGGTATTTACTTGGTCCTTGAGGCAGAGTGTCTCAGAGGTTGGAGAAGTCCTACAATGGCTGTCTCTCATTGAGGGGTGTGGAGTTGACAAGTAGTCTCTCAATCCACAAGACAGTGCTTCAGCTGCCCAGTCTGGCCCTGGAAGTCCAGAAGGTTCCTAGAGAGCTGCTGATTTTTATTTTGAAATGATGACAAGGAAATACTGGATCTGATATCAGCGAAGGGACCAGGAGCAGCATCAGGACAATTAAACTCAGGGGGAGGACTGAGCAAGAGGGGAGATGGCCTTCTTTCTACCATACCCCTTTTCATCTGGACTGCAGCACGAAGGTGCTGCCCATTATCCAGCTGGGTCTTCCTGCATCAATAAAGGCAACCAGGACACTTCTTCAGCCAGGACTACCTACTCAGATGATTCTAATTTCTGGCAAGTTGACACTAAAACCAACCGTGTTAAGAACTAGCACCCTGTTGCATACATGCTCTTATGGAAAGGTTCCACAGTTGCTTTTCCATCATGTGAGGATGCAGGAGTGAGGTACCATCTATGAAAACCCTATCAGATATTTAAATGCCACAGCACCTTGATCATACCTATATGAGCCTCCAGAACCATTTGTTGCTCATCAATGACCCAGTCAAAGGTATTTTGTTACAGCATCCCAAATAAACCAAGGCACTCAAATTGAACACATAATTTGTCATGTTCAGAAGAGATTAAGTTGGTTATCCTAAATTACATTTGGTGCACACCTATCATGTATGGATAAAAGTTTATAGAACTTAGGATAGAGTCCAGAGTACTATAAAATTGGCTAAATATCTGTAGGAAAACAAACAAACATCATTTAGGAACATTCAAGGTTCTCTGTAGAGATGAATGCAAGCAATCAACACCTATATGAACAGATTGAGCAGAAGGATGAAGATAAGATCTGAATAAACAAACAAACAAAACCAGAAAGCCATAGTTCAGAAGTTGACCAGGAAAAAGAGCCAGGAAATGTCCTGGGCTTCTCCAGCCTGGCCCTGGGACATTCACTGTGTAGTGTACTCATGAGCGTAGCCTTGAGTATAGAAGTTTCTGTTGAGAACATAAAGCCAGGGCTGGAAAGATGGCTCAGCCATTAAGACTGGTTACCGCTCTTGCATAGGATCTGCATGTGGGTCCCAGTACCCACATGACAGCTTCCAACTGCGTGTAATTCCAGCTCTGAGAGATCCAAAGGCTCCTGCATGCTCAGGGCACTGGGCCGTGGATAGTGGCTACAATTGTGGTCATTTTCTCCTAAAGATGAGCCTGGCAAGCTCAACCTAGGCTTCAGTCCTCTGCTACATGGGTTCTCTGTAGAGGGATTGCCTATTAGGGTTTAGTCTTTCTTGTTTTGCACATAGCAAACTGAGGAAGATCAGAAGAAATTGAATTGAAGTTTTCCTTAAGCTCACTTAATTGAGTGTGTGTGTCTGTGAGTTTCCCTTCTGTGTTTGTATGTATCTTTCTCTTAAGAATCAATAATGGCAGTATTCATTTATATCCTCTATATCCTTATTTGATAAAACAAAAAGTAGCATAAACAAGTAAGTCTATTTAAAAAATCATTCAGCGACATGTGAAACCTAAGCCATTGGTCCACACTCTCCCAGGATTTAAGTAGATCATTTTCCTGGCCATGGGGCTGCTGAAAAGGCTTCAGAGTTTTGCTGTCTCTACAAACCCACTGACATGCAGGGAACTCCATCTCTCTCTCTTTCCTTTCTGTTCTGAAACTCTCTCGTGGTTGGGGAGATACTTAGCTCATTTTATCCGACCCTTCAAGGATGCGGAAAAGGCATGTTTTCCTCTATAGGCTTTGAAAATGCTCTCATGGCTTTTCTAATGGGGCGATCTATTGATAGAGGGTTCTGAACTTTGTGAAGAGAAGTTGTCTGTGTTTGGGGATCATCTCACCTTTAACAAAGGCAGGCCAGTCCATGGGTAGGTGCCAACTTTATAGGGTTCTCTTTAGTCTCTGTTTTTATTCACCTCTTGTATTTTCTTTCTTTTTTTTTTTTTTTTAAAGGAAAGATTATATTCTTGGTTTGCCAGAATCTAGACTATTCACAACTCCTTAAGCAAATCTGTGCTGGTTAAGAGTCACCATTGGCTGGGCGGTGGTGGTGCACGCCTTTAATCCCAATACTCGGGAGGCAGAGGCAGGCGGATCTTTGTGAGTTCGAGGCCAGCCTGGTCTATGGAGTGAGATCCAGGAAAGGCGCAAAACTACACGGAGAAACCCTGTCTCGAAAAACCAAAAAAAAAAAAAAAAGAGTCACCATTGTTAGCAACAGAAAATCAACGTGGCTACCTGTAAACAAAGGGAACTTACTGGAAACCCAGGATATAAGGTGCAAAACCAAAATGGTTTATAGAGAAAAAAGGCTTTGGGAAGATAAGTGTGGTCCTGGAATCCAAATAGCAAGAACTGACTGATAGTCTTTGCAGCGTGTCAAGCCTGGAATGAATCCATTTTAATTTTTCTGTTTGTTTGTTTTGTTTTAATTCTTGTCTTGTTCAATATTCAGACTTCAAAACCTATGTCTTTTGTCCATTGGTGACCTGAGACAAGCAGGACATTTTGAATGACAGATTTACCAAGACTGTAGACAATGGGGCATGGGAAGTCTCCAAAAGGAGGTCGAGTATTCCCACGAGAGGCTAAAGAGTGGACTCTGGATGACATTAACCTTCAAAGGCATCTTTCTTCACTGCTTTGTACACTCAGACCCCCCACATCTTCCCAGTCCAAACAGATCCAGAACCGGATGCTCCACTAGCCATGAACTCAGAAAGTCATGTGGCCAAAGGGGCCTTTACCATTTCCACAGGAGTGTCATTTTAACTTTAAAAATCATTCCACAAAGCAGAAGGCCAACTCTGTCTTGGAGGAAGCACAATTTTTTACAGTAGGTACAGTTGCCTTAGGTTTTCCAGTGAGGGCATGAGACAGACTGACAACCTTAAGCAAGCCTTTGAATGTGAAATGAAAAAAAAAAAAAACATAAAATAAAACCTGGCATCTCATTTTATTATCATCTCCAAATCAAAATCAAGCAGAAGATTTTTGCTAGTCAAATAATTGTGACAAAGGTTCTTCAGGATGCTTACCCATTGAGCAGGGACAACCACCAGCACAGAGGGAAATAACATCCTTTGTGAGGACCCCTAGCGATACTTCACTGTTTAAGACAATATTCTAAATGTATCAAGTGTTGCCTGAGAACTAATATGCCATTTTGTTTCTTATGACTGAGCACTCTACAATAGCTTACACCTGGTTCTACTTGTAATTGGCACAGAGGGTTTCTGAAGAAAATAGGAATCTGGTGCTGACAAAGTCTATTCCATCTTTTTGATTATTTGATAATCTTTTTGATTATTTAAGAGCATTCATGGGGATGAAAAGATGGCTGAACAATTAAGGGCACTTACTGACCTTGTAGAAGACTTGAGTTGGTTGGGTTCCTAGCATGCAAGGCGGGCAACTCACAATGAATGGCTTTAACTCCATTTTAAAGTGACTTAAGGCCTCTGGTCTCCTTGGCCACCTGCACTTAAATGTGCACACACAAACATTCTCT